GCCCTGCGCCTTCTACGAAATCTGCACTTCGAGCTTCGCAAAATGCTGCGTCTGCCACGAAATCTGCACTTCGAGGTTCACAAAGTGCTGCGCGCACCACACTTCAATGTCCACAAAGTGCTGCGCCTGCCAAAATCTGCACTTCAAGGTCCACAAAGCACTGCGCCTGCCACGAAATCTGCAAACGAACCACATGTCCAAAAGTCACGATTCACTGGACCTGTCACGAAATCAGAGCGCCTCAAAGATCACCAAAGCGCTCTGCCTGCCACAAAATCTTTACTTCGAGGCTCACAAAGTGCTGCGCCTGCCACGTCTGCTCTCCGAGGCTCCCAAAGCGCTGCGCCTGCTACGAAATCTGCTGCCTGCCACGAAATCTGCACTTCGAGGTTCACAAAGTGCTGCGCCTGCCGCGTAATTAATCTGCACTTCAAAGTCCACAAAGTACTGTGCCTGCCACGAAATCTGCAAACGAACCACATGTCCAAAAGTCACGGTTCACTGCACTTCTCACGAAATCAGAGCGCCTCAAAGATCACCACCATGTCCAAAGCATTGCGCCTGCCACAAAATCTATACTTCGAGGCTCACAAAGTGCTGCGCCTGCCACGAAATCTGCGCAAAGCGCTGCGCCTGCCACGAAATCTGCACTCCGAGGCTCGCAAAGCTCTGCGTCTGACACGAAATCTGCACTTCGAGGTCCGAGGTTCACAAGGTGCTGCGCCTGCCACGAAATCTGCGCTTCAAGGCATTAAGCGCTGCGCCTGTCACAAAATCTGTTCACAAAGCGCTGTGCCTGCCACGAAATCTGCACTTCGAGGTTCACAAAGTGCTGCGCCTGCCACGAAGAAATCTACACTTCGAGGTTAAAGCGTTGTGCCTGCTACGAAATCTGCACTTCAAGGTCAACAAAGCATTGCGCCTGCCACGAAATCTGCACTTCGAGGTTCGCGAAATGCTGCGTCTGCCACGAAATCTGCGCTTCGAGGTTCACGAAGCGCTGCGCGCGCCACACTTCAAGGTCCCCAAAGCGCTGCGCCTGGCGCGAAATCTGCACTTCAAGGTCCACAAACCACTGCGCCTGCCACGAAATCTGCAAACGAACCACATGTCCAAAAGTCACGATTCACTGCACTTCTCACGAAATCAGAGCGCCTCAAAGATCACCATGTCCAAAGTGCTGCGCCTGCCACAAAATCTTTGCTGCGCCTGCCACGTCTGCACTCCGAGGCTCGCAAAGCGCTGCGCCTGCCATGAAATCTGCACCCCGAGGCTCGCAAAGCATTGCGCCTGCTACAACATCTGCACTTCAAGGTCCGAGGTTAGAAGGCGCTGCGCCTGCCACGAAATCTGTTCACAAAGTGCTGCGCCTGCCACGAAATCTACACTTCGAGGTTAAAGCGCTGTGCCTGCTACGAAATCTGCACTCCGAGGCTCGCAAAGCTCTGCGCCTGCTACGAAATCTGCATTTAATTTCGAGGTCCGAGGTTCACAAGGTCCTGCGCCTGCCCCGAAATCTGCGCTTCAAGGCATTAAGCGCTGCGCCTGTCACGGAATCTGCACTTCGAGGTTCACAAAGCGTTGCGCCTGCTACGAAATCTGCACTTCAAGGTCCACAAAGCATGGCGCCTGCTACGAAAACTGCACTTCAAGGTTCGCCAAATGCTGCGTCTGCCACGAAATCTGCACTTCGAGGTTCACAAAGTGCTGCGCGCGCCACACGTCAAGGTCCACAAAGCGCTGCGCCTGCGCGAAATCTGCAAACGAATCACATGTTCCAAAGTCGCGATTCACTGCGCTTCTCGCGAAATCAGAGCGCCTCAAAGATCACCACCATGTCCAAAGCGCTGCGCCTGCCACAAAATCTTTACTTCGAGGCTCACAAAGCGCTGGGACCAATGGCCAAAACCTCTGCAGATGCGACATTGATTCTGGTCAATGTTCTTGCCCTTACCACCATTCTTGCCTTTCTGCTTTCCTTTGCTTCCTTTCTTTCCTTTGCTCTTACCTTTTCCTTTGAACTTCCCTTTACCTTTGTTGCCCTTGCCTTTGCTCTTGCTCTTGCCTTTTCCTTTTCCTTTGTCTTCAATGCGGTCGATCTCCATGGGCGCGGGACCGCCTGTGTCCTGTCTTCACCGTCAGGCTGCGAAGAATGGATTCTTGATTCCATGTCTTTGAGGCTTGTTCATGAGACAACATGGTTTCTCGGACATTCTGATAGCTGCTGCTTTCAGTTATCGTCAAAGTCAAGTGTTCACGCAACTTGCTCTCTGCACAACGAATCAATGTTGCAATCTTCAACTCCTGAGGATATGTTGTGGAACTCAATGTCTCAAACTCTTGCACCAGTCGTTCATACTGAACAATGCATTCCAACACACTCTTGTCCTTTGGGAATGCTGGATAGCTTGCCAACGCTTGTGCCACTGCCAAGGATCTGAAGGCAAAAACTCTTGACGCAACAACTTCCACAACTTGAATCCGTCTTGTGTCGACTTCTCTGCCTGAACCATGTTGAGGCATTTTCCTCTCATGTAGCTAGTCAGAATGGAAACCAACTTGATGCTCAATGCTTGTTCTTCTGTGCTGTAATCTGACATGCTTGGCACCGTATCAAGCTGTTCAACCTTTTCCAACAACGCTTTTTGAACTTTGGCACCCCGAAATTCAACCAGGATGTAAAAACAAACTTCCAAGTCATGAAGCTGTGCGGATCTGAACCGTCGTAAGGCTCTGGATTTCGCAAGATCTTTGACGCTGCCTGCAATCCTGTTTGCATGCTGCTCGAACTCGAACTTGCTCCACCTGATCCACCAGCTAAAGAAGCCAATGCTGTTTCTGCTGCGGTTGCTGCCTTCGTTGCTGCTTCTGTCATTGCGGCCATCTTCAAGAACATCTCTTGATCCATTGCTCTGCCACAACGCAACCAACTTGCAAACAACGATGCGCGCAACTGTCTGCGTCTCACTTGTTTTGTTCTTGCAAAAACCTTCCTCTCTGTTCTCGATTGTCTGTGTTTGCACCGGCTCAAGTGGCTCATCAACCAAGCTGCTATTAGACTGATCGTCCATGCAGTCCAGCTTCTTATCATGCTCATTTCCTGCCATAGCCTTTGCGAGAAAGCTTCTGCAAGCTTTTGAACCGTACCTGCATCAGGAACCTGTTGTAGCAACTTGTTAACTTGTTGGAACAATGCTTGAACCGTTTTGTTCATCAACTGCAATGCACCAAACTCCTGAGTAGAACCTTCCCAGTCCGTCTTGCGCTTGTCTTCAAATGTCAAGCACATCCTCTCTTCATCCAACGTGTACACTGCCATGCTGTCTGTCTCTTGCCCATGCTCCTGATCAAGCTTTTCACCGATGGATTGATTCACCAGATGTCCTGTGTTCTCATGTGCCACCTGACCATCTGTCTCTTCGATCTCAACCCAGCTGTTCAACCTGCCAGCCAAGCTCAACCGACTTGCAATGTTGCTCAATGTTCCACCGATCAATGTACCAGCAATGCGACAACTGCTGCGCAATGCATCAATGTTCAACCGGTCAACAATGCTCAATGCTTTCAACTGCTCAACAATCAATGTCCACTTGTCAAGCTCATAGTCCTTCTCGTGCTCCACGGTCTTCCGTCTCCAAGCACTGCAATCACCAACATGGTGTCCAAAGGCCTCGAACCCTTGTTCTGTCTCTTCGTCCACGCTGCCAGTGAAGCAACCTGTCAACTCGGCCTCAAACCAAGCTCCATGGGACTCAAACCCAGTAGCGCAACTCGAATTTGCTTCCTCGAAGCCAGCGGTCATCTGCTTTGTCTCCCGCCAGTCACCCTGACGAACATAGGTGCAGGCTTCCTTTCCGCAGTGCTCCTGTGGCATCATTGCCACTGCCAGGAACCATGCCATGGCTTTCAACCCTGGTAGCATCATCGCCCTGGGATGGGGTCCGCTACCATCACAAGAATCGCGGCCGATCCTTTTCAACTCTCGAGCCACTGCATATCGGTATGTATGCGTGGTGCCATGAGGCTATGCTCCATGTTGACACTAACAGTACACACAGCAGAACAGCAAAGAACAAAGGACCCGAAACGCTCTACCCTATTGTTGGCCACCAAGGAGAGACTAGGGTATTGCCGCCCATGTTTTGTGTTCCAAACGGATAATAAAACATCATTCATGTTGTCTCAACAACGCGCCACCCGTCCCTTGGGTCTCAGTGCGGCAAGTATGCAGTGCACCATCCATGTGCGCCCCAGTAACGCTCTGGCAACAACAAAACTTCTTTGGCAAACCTCAACAACTTCAAAGCTGAGGAAACAATGTCCATCAGTGCAATTAGCGCCGACCAAATCTCACATCATCGCTCATCCGAAGGGCAGCAACATTTTCTTCCCAACCAGCAAAGTTCCTCCTGGTTTGAAGTTTGAAGCACCACTCTCCTCCAGCTTCGGTCTCCGATGCCCTCAACAAACCGCGCCCCTTCTCTGCAATGAAATCTGCAAACACAAGGCGCTGTACAGTACTAATTATCTACTGCCGGATACTACCGGTGCTGCCAAAGAACAGCAAATGGAAACAACGCGTGAAGAACAAGGAATCCAACTAATTGGCCTGCCACCAACTCCAAACGACCACCGCCCACCAAAGAATGCAAACGGGTCTGCGTGATGTAAAAACAAGAAGTCAAATGAGAAGTCAGTGAGTCGGTACATTGGCTTCTCTTTACAAATTCTTCTGTCTCCCACTCGAGGATTCTATCCGTCAACCAACAACAACAGCCTTAGTCCCAGGCTGATGGCGGTTCTTCTGCCATAGCTTTGAAGCACTGCGCACTACGTCACTGCCATGATTGTTAGTAAGTCCACCACAGCAAACCCAAGATCATATACAATTTGAGCCAATACGTTTGCTTGTTGCAGGTCACCCTTAAAGTGAAAACAGTAGTGAGATCATAGCCTGCAGCTTCATTGCACCCCCCTCTCAGAAAGCTTGGCCGGGTTACCAGAAAAGATGACCATACTGGCAAACTGCGAGCCGGGCAACGGTTCAGCTGTTGGAAACAACTTTTCTGAGGACAAGGAAACACAATCCTGAACACTGTCATATTTTCATGCGCGCCCAAGCGGTTCTGAATCTGACAGGAGCTGCACCTGAGCGAAGTACCGAAATACGCTGCCGCCTCAAGAGCAAACTACACTTGAAATATCTTGAAGTTGCACCTCGATGGATTCCCCGCTGATTTCACCGCCATTGAAATCATTGTACAAACCCTCAGCATCCTGGCGCGTAAGAATAATCTGCTCTCGCAGCGACTTTGGACCAAACATCGCAGCTCCGCAATGGGCAATCGAAAACATGATACGCTGATTCATAATGATGACATGTTTGGAACAATCGTGAAGCATCTGCATTAATTATCGCCAACACATGCGTGGGGGCAATTCCAGGGGTGAGCGGCCTAAAATCCTTTTCGCGCGCGCACTCCAAACTATTTCATACTATTTCAACTTGTACTAGAAATACACCGCCTTGTTCTTTCATTATGCAAAGTTGGGTGGCCGACCCCAAGAGATGTAAGGAATGAACGCAATAGAGTGTTTCATCTGATTGGTTTCCCACTCCTTCTGACAAAATGTAAACCAAAGCTGTTCACGGCATTGAGTGATTGAGTGGGGGCACCTGCGATATACAATGATAATCAATGATATACATATGTTGACCTTTCCCGAGAGCGTCTGCGAAGGGCTTTTCGTAAAAAAGTATCTGTAGAACTACGTCTCATCTACATCTTCACATCTTCACATCTGCACATCTACATTTGCACATCTACATTTCTGCTCATCTTCACATCTGCACATCTACATCTCTGCTCATCTTCACATCTTCACATCTGTACATCTACATTTGCACATCTACATCTACATTTCTGCTCATCTTCACATCTGCGCATCTACATCTCTGCTCATCTTCACATCTTCACATCTGCGCATCTACATTTGCACATCTACATCTCTGCTCATCTTCACATCTGCGCATCTACATCTCTGCTCATCTTCACATCTTCACATCTGCGCATCTTCACATCTGTACATCTACATCGTCACATCTTCACATCATCTGCACATCTACATCTTCACATCTTCACATCCGCGCATCTCACATCTGCGTATCCTGTCGCTCTTCTTTTCTTTCTCTCTTAAGGCCGGGGGCGGCGTCGTCGGGGCACCTCGAAACGCAACCCTCTGCGGAGATCGTGCGTGTCGAGGGCGCGAAATGCAGGTGAGATTACTTTTTTGCCTGGTCCGGCGCAACGCGCGAAATGCAGGCGAGATTGCGTTTTGGATTGGTCGTGCGCAACCCTCTGTGGAGATCGCGCGTGTCGAGGGCGCGAAATGCAGGCGAGATTGCGTTTTGGATTGGTCGCGCGCAACCCTCTGCGGAGATCGTGCGCGTCGAGGGCGCGAAATGCAGGTGAGATTGCGTTTTGGATTGGTCGCGCGCAACCCTCTGCGGAGATCGTGCGCGTCGAGGGCGCGAAATGCAGGTGAGATTGCGTATTAGACTGGTCGCGCGCAACCCTCTGTGGAGATCGTGCGTGTCGAGGGCGCGATATGCAGGTGAGATTGCATTTTGGATTGGTCGCGCGCAACCCTCTGCGGAGATCGTGCGTGCCGAGCGCGCGAAATGCAGGTGAGATTGCGTTTTGGATCGGTCGCGCTTCACTTTTGGAGGACGTCTCGAACGAAACGCTCGTTTTGGACACTTGGCGCTTCCCTTTTGGAGGACGTCTCGTACGAAACGCTCGTTTTGGAGACTTGGCGTTTCACTTTTGGAGGATGTCTCGTACGAAACGCTCGTTTTGTAGACTCGGCGCTTCACTTTTGGAGGACGTCTTGTGCGAAACGCTCGTTTTGGAGACTTGGCGCTTCACTCTTGGAGGAAGTCTCGTACGAAACGCTCGTTTTGGAGACTTGGCGCTTCACTTTGGAGGACGTCTCGTACGAAACGCTCGTTTTGGAGACTTGTGGCGCTTCACTTTTGGAGGATGTCTCGTACGAAACGCTCGTTTTGGAGACTTGGCGCTTCACTTTTCGCTTGTTTTGGAGACTTGGCGTTTCACTTTTGGAGGAAGTCTCGTACGAAACGCTCGTTTTGGAGACTTGGCGCTTCACTTTTGGAGGAAGTCTCGTGCGAAACGCTGGTTTTGGAGACTTGGCGCTTCACTTTTTGGAGGAAGTCTCGTACGAAACGCTCGTTTTGGAGACTTGGCGCATCACTTGTGGAGCTGGACTCAGACCTGGCCAGTTTGTAGTGCAAATGTAGGGCGGGAAAGAGCTTTTCGGAGCTGGACTCAGAAGTGGCCAGTTTGTAGTACAACTGTTGTGCGGGAAAAGAACTTTTCGGAGCTGGACTCAGACCTGGCCAGTTTGTAGTGCAAATGTAGTGCGGGAAGAGCTTTTTGGAGCTGGACTCAGAAGTGGCCAGTTTGTAGCAAATGTAGTGCGGGAAACAGCGTTGCGGAGCTGGACTCAGAAGTGTTTGCTTCTAGTGTGATCTGATTGCTTCTAGTGTGTGGGCAGACCGTGTGGCGAATTACGTTCGCGATGTCGCAGTGCCATGCGGATTTGCGAGGTCTTGGCGGCGCCGTGCCACTGGGGAGCGCGAAACATGCTGGTGTAAACGCGGTGTCGCGGGCGAGCGGGATGATTGGCGGTATCGTGTGATATGATTGCTTGTAGTGTGTGGGCAGACAGACCGTGTGGCGAAATTTCGTCCGTGATGTCGCAGTGCCATGCGGATTTGCGCGGCCTTGGCGGCCTTGGTGAAAAGTGCATATGCGTGGCGCCGTGCCACTGGGCAGCGCGAAACATGCTGGTGTAAACAGCGTGTCGCTGGTGAGCCGGATGATTGGCGGCATCGTGTGATTTAATATGATTGCTTGTAGTGTGTGGGCAGACCGTGTGGCGAAATTACGTCCGTGATGTCGCAGCGCCATGCGGATTAAATTTGCGCGGCCTTGGTGGGAAGTGCGCTTGCGTGGCGCCGTGCCACTGGGGAGCGCGAAACATGCTGGTGTAAACGCGGCGTGTCGCTGGTGAGCGGGCCGGGATGATTGGCACCGGGAGCGCGAAACATGCTGGTGTAAACGCGGCGCGTCGCTGGTGAGCGGGATGATTGGCGGTATCGCGTGATATGATTGCTTGTACTGTGTGGGCAGACCGTGTGGCGAAATTACGTTCGCGATGTTGCAGCGCCATGCGGATTTGCGAGGCCTTGGTGGAAAGTGCGTCTGCGTGGCGCCGTGCCACTGCATGGGGAGCGCGAAACATGCTGGTGTAAACGCGGCGTGTCGCTGGTGAGCGGGACGGTTGGCGGTCCATGTGCTTGCGCAGCGAGAAATGCACCAAGGTTGGCGCTCCTGACCCACAACGTTGCGCTGCCGTTGCATCTGCGCATCTACGTCTACACGCCCTCACCTCAGGACATTTACATCTTCACACGCTCGCATCCGCAGATCTACCTCTCTACCTCCACACACCCACGCATCTGCGCATCTATATCACACCTGCGCATCCACACTGTCACTCCTTCACATCCGCCCTCTCTTTCTCTCTTTCTACATATCTTTTCTCTTAATGGTTAATCTAATTTCTTCGCAACTTCTTACTCAATAACAGATTGTATAAAGAAGTCATGGCTCTTGGACATCTCGCTTTTAACTATTTCCTTACTCGGAATTGCTTGACAATCACCTTTCTCGCTCTCGGGCCAGCCGTCGTCTAGTTTGTTGCTTATATAGCGCAAATAGTTGAACTTGTTTGCTGCGCATCAAGGCCGCGGACGCAGCCGCGGTCGCTAAGGTCTGGGGCAACCGCTCACAGGAATCACCCACAGCACATCATGGCAAATAATATGGTTTCTGTTCAACCTTGCAAAACTTTGGTGTATCGTAGTGTATCAATGTATTAAGTAGACCTCTAAGTAGATCGGAAACGACGGGGACAGAAACATGTCCGACTGCTAGGTGTGTTGCGCGCTGGCCCAAATATTGACATTTTGAGCCCCAATGCTAAGCAACAGCCAAACTTCCACAAATTGAACGGCCTTGCCTCAGCCCTCTCGAAAGCTAACCACGCCGTGAACGCCTGGCAACTTTTGTCCAGTGGCGCAGCCATAGCAAACCAAACACTCAGGTATGACCGTCGCGACGTCTTGTTGGGCAAAGCCTCATCAATGTACCCCTCCACAATGGGCCCTGTCGCCTTCTCCAGAAGCTCCTCGCAATAAACTCACTGTTGACCATCTGGCATCCGCTTCACACGCGCTACAGATTGGTGCGCGTACGACTTGAACACCACAAACGGAAGAAACAATAAGCGTGGAGCTGGAGAAGGGGAACGAAAGCAAGCGCATTTTACAACCAGCGTGACATGTACAGACTTTGCTGTGGATGCTCGACCAACGAGAATCCTACACTTTCCAGGAGTGTGTGGACTACATAGATTTTGTGAGGCCGCTCAGAAATCAAGCAGCATCAGAACCGCCGGTTCAACTGTCCGCTTGTTGAACCAATCGACGTGGCCTCTTCCAAGAACCTATCTCTATAGGGGGAGTTCTTGGGCTTTTTTCGCATATGCAGAAATCAAACGTCAACAAAAACCTCTGGTTTCAGTTGCGTACTTGTGGAGCCAGTCGACGGGGCCTCTGCCAAGAGCCCACGGCTGCGCAAGCACATGAAAGCAAAATGAAGGCAGAATGAAATGAAAGCAGCGTGAAAGCAAAATAAAGCAGAAAGAAAGCAAAAGAACAAGATGAAAGCGACAGCAAAGTCTCCTTCCTTTCTCAACACCTTGTTGACGATCTTGGAAGTAACCCCATACGACTTGCTAATGCGCACGATGCAACCACAACTTCACCTTGCATCTTCTGCGTCACCAACTACTCCAAACTCGCCTCCGCAATAATGAAGCGTGAGCCCCACAAGGTTTTGATGAAAAGGGCCGCTTTGGCCTGCTCTCCCACCCCGCACCCCCATTAGTCATTTCGTTTGCAGGAAAAGTTTCAGCCTAGCCCACCGGCTGGCTTTTGTAACCTAAGAGGCCAGCGTGGTGTCCAGCCGTAGGGTCGAGTCTAAGAAATTTACAAGTCCAAGTGACCTCGATTCAATGCAGCCCAACCTCACCAAAGCTGGAAATGGCCTCCGACACTTACGCGCCCAAAGTTGCAACCTGTCTTCCACTTCCACCATCTTGCATAGTTTTTGGTTGGCGTGCGTTTTCGTGACGGCCGCGTGACCCCAGCTAAATCAAAAGAGCCCAAAGACAACCCAGCTACAGCTACTGAATATACAATCGCGAACTCTGAAGATTGAGTTCTTGCAATGGATTGCGCCAAGCCCGGAACAAACCTTCAAAAAAAGGGACTGCGGCGACTACGGCAATACAGAAGTCCAAATTGTTTCAATTAATCAGAAACATCCAGTCAAACGACTCAAACTCATCTGCCAGCGGCGCCATTTTCATTCACAATTGAAGAGAAGTAGATGATGTAAAGCGGGCGCAGGGATGAGCGCCCCTGCCTCCACCATTGCGCTGCGCTGTCAGCTTTGTTAGCAGACCAACACTATAGGTGGGTCCGTCCCCTGCTGTTTACACCTCTGAAGATAGCCTTTCCAAAGTTTACGCGCGTGATTCGGACACCGCGCGCGCGAGCAAACGAGGACAGGTGGAAGGATGCGAAAGGGAAAGACGTGAGAAGCGAGCAAGGTGTGTCAGGTGGCAACAAAGGCCCAGAGGGAAATCCCAGCAAAAAGGGCCAACCAGTGAACCGTACCTCACCGTAAGAAGCCTGGCCGCCTGAAAACATAGTCTGCTAGCAAGAGGAAAAGGAATGGAAACCTCGTTGTCAAAACCTGCCGTTTTGGATTTGTAAGTTGGCAGCGTGCAGAAAGAAAAGAAAAAGAAAAAGGAAGAAAGAGAGAGAGAGAGAGAGAGAGAAAGAAAGAAAGAAAGAAAGAAAGAAAGAAAGAAAGAAAGAAAGAAAGAAAGAAAGAAAGACAGAGTGAATGAAAGAGAAAAGCCAGAAAGCAAGCAAGAAAGAGGGAAGCCTTGAGATCTTTGTCGAGGTCTGTTTCTGCCTTTGTTGTGGCGCTGCTTGGAGGACTTCTTCTTGGAAGGAGCGCCAGTGCGCTTGTTAATGTTGATTTGGCATTATTGGAAGCAACCGTGCAGAGAACAAGCCTTAAGGGTTCGACTCGCCCTTTGGTGTTTTGGGCCCCGTTTGTGCTCGAGTCTTGCTTGCCTTCTTGTTTTCCGAAAGCCAACGGTTGTTCTCCCTCCTTTGCTGTTTACAACTAGCTCTTGATTTTTCATGAGGTAGGCTTAATAGGCTTAATTAAGACCCTTGTTGGAGCCTGTTGCAAGTGATGTTCCTTTCTTGTTGGGCACCCTGAGCGGAGGAGCATCAACAAGTCGTAGTGAGAGGAAGCCGCCGGATGATTTCTGCAAGGAGCCCGTGTCCACGAAGGAGGGGCCTGGCAGATACTTGAGCGCGTGAGTGGAAATTAGCTTTCTGCCTGAAAGGCACTGACGTTTGACGAGGGGTCAGAAGCTCTCCGCTCCGCCTCAGAACAGCCGGCGGATGGTGTGGGCCCGACCAGGCTGCCGTGTTGGGCCAAGAGATGCGGCAAGCCCGGATTTCTTAGGGCTGGCTTGCGAGTTGGAGAAAGAGAAAGACAAGGAAAGGAAAGATAAGATAAAAGAACATTGGGTTGGATTAGTTAGATTAGATTAGATCAGACTGATAGATAGACAGACAGGTAGATAGATAGACAGACAGATTATTATGTACATATCGAGAGAGAAAGTTGCAGATGTGAAGACGCGCGAGTCTGGTTATCTTGTCAAGATGTGAAACGCAAAGATGTGCAAGCGCGCAGATGTGAGAACGCGCGCGCTGGATATGTGCGGATGTATATTAGTTGCGACGATACGCAGCGCTCCTGCTTTTTTTAGAAGAACGCTTCGCTTGGCGCGCTCCGGAAAAAGGGTCACCCCGCAGAGGAAGGAAGCGTAACCCGCAAGCCTTTTTTGGGAGCCAGGTTGACAGCCATTCCCTAGAAACTTATGCCAGGCCCAAAGAAACCCTAAAGAAGTGAAGGCCTAAGCCTAAGCCAAAAACGCTGAACCCACGCAAACCCTAAATAACTGAAGCCCTAAGGCCCACAGAAACCCTAGCGGAAGCACACCCTTAAAGAAGAACCCCTAAACTGAGCCCAAAGACCTAAAGAAGTGAAGCCGTGGGAAAACTCAAGGAGCTAAACCAACCCCCGTCCCCTCAAAAAAAATAACTGAGGCCCTGACCAAGCCCAAAGAAACCGTAAAGAAGTGAGCCCGACCCAGACACCCCGCCCAAAGAAGTGCAAGGTGGCTACCGCGGCTCCTCGCTCTCGCAAAACACTTTCTTGACTTGGACGAGCCAGTTTCCTCTGGCGGTGGTTTCCTCCGAGCGAGAGTCGAGCGCATCAGCACTTTTCTTCACACTGCGCATCTGCCGACCTCAAATACCAGCCGGATCAAAAGAACAGCGCTAGGCACCGACTGACTCCAAAGGTTAGACAGACACACACACACATACACTCGGGATTAGAGTTCGCACGAAGGCCGCCAAATGAGTAGAAAAATCCGGGTGAAAAAACTGTCTGAATAAACCAGGAATAGTGTAGAGAACCGATATAATGGCAGGTGATCTTGTCTTGTTGCTTTTAGAACCAGGGCCCGCAGGGAATTAATTGTAAGACTCGCAAGTACAGGAAGGTGATCAGCCTTCCCTTCCCATCCACGACCGTAGCTTCGTTGGACACAGTGGGTCATGGACGCCGTGTGCCCCTGCTGATTTACACCAAACAGTGACCGGTGATTCCAAGGTGTACAAGCGCGCACACACACACACACACACCAACCAACCCAACTCTGTCTCCTTCAAGTACTTGAACTGCAGACTCGCCGGAACGTTCATGACCTCCACGCGCTCTCGTCAAATCATGAATATTTACATATCGAATATTTATCAACAGAGACAAAGAGCTGCCACTTGCGAGCAAGTATCGCCTTGGCCTTCCTCTTCGGTTTTTTCCTCACCACAACGCGTGCTCCAAAGCGCAACGCGACTTGCACAAGAAGTCGCATGGTCGCAGTAGCCCGGCGCTGCACGGCGCTGCCACGTCATTGTTTTCAAACCCCTCAAGCTCATGGATGGGCTTGAAGGGTCTATAGGTTGGGGCAGTGTTGACGCAAGGCTGCATTCACGCGGCGCTAGTCTTTCCCATGTTGGGGGCTTGAAGTCGCTTCCCGCGGCGTACGCCAAAAAAAACAGTACGTTTTGCCTTGAACTGTTGCAACTGTTATTCAGGCTGCGTCGCGACGACAACAGCCCGCGCCGTTTGTTTCAAGAGAGGGCGCAAGGAAAGGTAATTCATTCATTCATGTCCAAGCCACTCCAGATGATTGGTAACCGAATGAGAAGGACTCTGGATGTTTATTGTAAAGTTTATCGTCTGAGTTGCCTAACCAAATTGTAAACAATGTGCATTGTAAATATTGCAATTTTCGATGCCCTTGAAGTTGTACATTTTCCTGGGTTTAGCATGTATCCGCAATGCTTACAGTTTTCTCATTTACAATATCTGCATGGCACTTGTAGTTTCTACATCATGTCTTGTTGTGACCATTAGTAAGGACTCTATTTGTGCAGCGCGTTTTTTTGGGGGTTCGACTTATGACCAACAATGCCTGCAAATTTGGCACCTTTCACCTCTAGGTCTTGTGTCGACCATGCAAGTATTGCATACTTCATTGAAATTACCCCGTCTTTCGACCTAGAGATGATAAGCACCATGGGATGAATGAAGAAATATGTAATATATACATATATTATGGAACATAAAAAATACAATTGTATTGTTGAATGTAAGTTGTTTCTCCTCAAAATGTACAGTTTCAAGGGGATCGAACATGGAGCGACTACAAAAAACTATACAATGTGCATGATGACGTAGAGATGTTAAGCGCCGTGCGGTGAATGAATATCATCAATGTCACATGATTGCATCATGTGCATCACCAGGTCCATGAACACTTGAGATCGTTCTCCGAAGTCTGCGGCGCAAGCTCTCGATTTAGGGAAGTTGGACCTGGCAGTGTTCAAGAGTTTTCGCGCTAGAAGGACTCGAGACAGCCGCTTAGTGGTCTCTGGCCAGCTCGGTTTTGGAATCTGGAAACTGTTGACCGCAACCTACGAAGCTTATCGCCAAAGTCCAACGCAATGTTCTGAAACCTGGATTTCCGCTCCGCTCAGCGCTAATTCGCGTGGTAGGTTATGACCAACCGCCTGTTTCTGCTGCGGTCTTTCCTTCCTCCCCTCCTCTCTTTCTCTACTTTCTTCTTTCCTTCTGCATGCGTGCCCCAAGCGTCTTTTTCTTGTCCTGTCCTGACCCTCTGTCCAATGTCCTCCTCAGAATCTCGTTGCAGTTGGCACTTGCAGCCGACTTCATAATGCTTTGTCATTGCATATTACTATATGCAGAAATATATTGAGCTTTGCGGAATACAGCTACAGTACCTGGTGGCACGGCGAGACAAAGCAACTTGAATGCTGCCAAGCTTCCAGGCAGTCTTAACCTTCTCAACCTCGTCCTTCACTTCTTCTTGCAATTGTCGGGGCACTTTGTCCTCGCGCTTCCTGGGCTTTGGCTCTGGCCTTGGCATTTTTTAAATTACATCGCATGTCCGCTCAAGTTCCTACTCAATATACTTATAAATACATATCTTGATTTGCACAAAATAAGAAAGTGTTAAAACACGATCGGGAAGCACAACTTAGAACATCCAAGCAGGACTTCGTTCTATTACTCAAATCGTTCTAAGTTCCACCAGCTAGCGCAACATGTTCCAGGTTTCTGCTATGTTTAAGTTGATCATGCTGTGGCAAACTATATACATGTTCCAACTTGTTCTATGGTTAAGGTTTGTCATGAACACATGCACCCGAACAAATACTTGCAAGGACATGCAACTTTTGACTTGTATGGGCTATCTTTGGTGCAACAGGTGTCAAGAGGGGTTGGCTAAGGTTTGCACACACGCAAAGCTTCACGCTTGCGGCGTGGTCCATGTTTAAGGCATGCCAAGGACACCTGAGGAAATACATGGAAGGCACTACACATTTTGACAGACAAAGACATCGTTTGAGACAACAGGTGTCAAGAGAGTTTGACCAGCAAAAGGTTTGAGCAAACAGAATTCACATGTTTGGATTGAAGTTCATGCTTCTTGCGCGTTCTATGTTTAAGGTTGGAGAATGGACACATGCACCCGAGCAACTACTTGAAAGGAACTGCAAATTTTGACAGAAAAACAACGTCTAACTTTTGGCAACATCACTGAATGCACACAAAAACATAAAGGGTTTCATACACCCAAATAGAATTTACCATCACATATAGTTTATATACTAAGTTCTCTGTTCTGCGATGTTCCAAGTCTATAACTTAGAACGTTTTAGCAGGACTCTTGGACATACTCCAAAAGTATGGGATTCACTATACACTAAGATACAAATATGACATCCACTGTGAATCATTTTTGCGCGTTCAAACCAAACTCACAGCAAGTGAAGTAAAGGGGCGGTGGCAATTGTTGGCATAGGAGCTCCAGCGCAGTCAGAGGCCTATGAGTTTCAATAGCACAATTGACTTCTGGCATAACAATCTGGAAAAACCGTCTGTGCTGCATAGCCACAGCCCACCTGCTCGTCGCCTCCAATTCATGGGCCAATCGCTTTCTTCCTCGGCCATTGGCCTCGGAGTGGACGTTGGCAAACCATTCCCATTGAAAATCCCGTTGCTCCTGATTTCTTGTGGAAATTTAATGATCTTCATCCTAAACATTGTCTTTGTGGGTCTGTCAGAGCAAACATTTTGCTAGATCCACGCAAAAGAATTCTCTTGGGTTTCCTGGCTGGACCAAATTGCGAGACGTGGTCGAAGGGTCGGGCGACTGATGACGACGGCCCAAGACCATCCAAGACCCCTTTGCTCCAGGCAGCGCCGCCAGAGAGTGCTTTCTCACCAAACGGGAGAGCCAACAACGTGACACTAGGCAGTCAACTTCTTGGTGTTTATTTGAGGTTTTTCCTCGTTGCCCTTCTTTTCGACGCTATTGCCATCATGGAGTAGCCGGTGGCACCCGGGTTGCCTTTGATATGGTGGCTACGGCGGGAGTTCTTTTTGCGCTTTAAGAACTGTACGTAACTGACGATCCACCAGGGATCCTGTGGAGGCCCGGACAGTTCTTTTGCCAGGCAAGATCCACGCCTCTGCCGAAAGCGGGATGGATAGGAAAGAACGCCAACGGTTCGTGGCGAACAACTATACTCAAAGATTATCCTATCCTAAAGATATTTGTTTTGGGTTTGCCAAACTTTTTGCGGAGCAGGAGCCATACAGCGAGGTCCGAGAAGTGTTTCCTGACTGGTTTCTACCGGCTGAACGTTTTGGCGTGGGCTTATGCGAAAGAAAAGGGTGTGTCAGATATTGTTTATTGAAGTCGCACATGCGTCCAGCTTTGCCACCGGACTCCATATTAGTTGAAGTGCCAATGCAGCGCCGAACTACAAGCAAAGGGGGAAAGTTGAAACTGAGGTTGGAGGTGACTTTTCTCAAGCAGTGTGGTCACACTAGGGGTTGTTACGGTAGTAGTTAGACACCGGTGTCTAATCGAGGTATTGCGCACTGATGCCTGTCGAAATAGTGCACTTCGACTGAGCAAGCTCGCAAAATCTGGTGGGCCGCTGCGGGCGCTTCTCGCGACGGCGCTCTCGTTGTGGCGCCTTGTGCATTTTCGGACATGGTGGTCACTTTTCGTGGCAGGAGCAAAGGAAACCTCCTGCTTTGGTTGGCCAAAGTCGGCTATTCGTGGCAGGTGCAAGGGATCGGAGCGCTCCCTCGAAGTGCAGATTTCATAGCAGGCGCAGAGCTTTGCGAGCCTCGGAGTGCAGATTTCGTAGCCCTCCCTCCCTCCCTCCCTCCCGCCCGCCCGCCCGCCCACCCGCACGCACGCACGCACGCACGCACTCACTCACTCACTCACTGCCTCCGCCACCATGACCACGATCTTCACCTTCATCACCACCATCACCTCTCTGCGTCTAGATCTCTAGACTTTCTGCTGCTACACCTCCAGACCTCACACACACACACATTGTTTGGGGTCTCCTTCCGGGGTAATTTGATTCAAGCGAAACATATTTTTTGAAAGCAAGCGCGTGCAGTGAGGAATCTTTAATACAATCTAAAACAACTGCGAAAATGAATCGAACGTGAAAACTGCGCAGGCGATCTCAATTCCTTGGAGTGAAGCGCCGACGTTCCTTATGTTGTCAGGTCATTGGCACCTTTAGCAAACCCAACAAACCTCTCTTCGGGCAAGGGCGCTCGCAGGTCAGGAACGCTGCCCAACGAACGTATTGGGTTGATCCAACCAACGGGGGATTGAGAACCTGCAGTCGCAGCATGCCACTTTTGCATCTGGAACGGCGACCCTGTTGCTGGAAGCAGTGAAGCAATACTGCAATGGTTCAAAGGATATAAAAGGTGGGGTGTCCTTCAAACGGATTTACCTTGAGGTGGCTTGGACAACTTCGTGGCTTGGACCTTGCAATCTCAAGACTTCTGCATGCTGCGGCCAACTAAGGCTGCTGCTTCCAAATCCTGCCAACAAAAAGGTTTCGATTCTGCAGATCTTCGTGAAAGTTGCTCAAGAGCCGACGAGCGAAACAATGTTATCATAAGAAAACTCGTTTCAACGATCCGCTGGTGAATTTGGCAACGCCGGAAAATGCTGCTCAACAAAGCAAAGAACAAAGCAAAGGGCTGCAAAGAAATCAGCCACTCCTTCTGAGCTCTCTCTTTCTCTTCAGCCTCCTTCCTGGCAAATCTCGCTTTTTATGGTGCGTCACTTGAGTTCTACACCCGCCTCCGCCGAACAGCTGCGCTCGTAGTCAAGAAAAAAGTTGTGCCATCTGCGTATTCCTGGCAAAGTACACAGCTGCGTGCAACAAGGAATGCAAGCGTCCACGTGTATCTTCCAGTCCATTCCTGATTGAAACCGTTCCAATAGTGCAAACAATTTCAGCCATTTCTAACGTACTGACTTTCTTTATTCTGTCACCTGACCAAGTAAGACGTATTCTGGCTGCTTATGAAGCACCATACACAATCAAGGCTCCTCCTTTGCGTCTTGATCTGATTCACCAGCCTTATTGGGCAGTGTAGTGGTTCATTTACAGCATGTCACAGCATATCCCTATCAAAAAATGTTCCTGATTTGCACTGATGAGGCTTGTGACTGGTTCATTCATCTGTGACATAAACAAAGACTTCACTTTACAAACTTTGTTGACGCAAACATAAAGCCGGCACCGATGGGAGGTGGAGTTGCGAATGGTCTACTCTGAAATGATGCTTTGCTGCTTTGACGCAAACTAAGTCCTGCAAAAGGACACTGAAGTGCGCATCCAGATGTGAAGAACGTTTGAAGGGTGTGAAAGTCGCTAACCTCCCAAGTCCACAACCTCCAAACGGCCATGCGTATGGGTGACACCGTCAGTTGACAAGAAAGCATCAGCCTGTTTGATCTGAAGCAGCCTGAAAAAGTAGAATAACAGTTTGAATGACACAATGACCACGCAAGTATACCAGGTTGATCAGAGCCGGTTTCCCAGCGCGCGTAGCTTCGTTGGCATGCGTTTGCGTGATGGCCGCACTGCTAATGCAATTCAAACTCATGAAAAGTACTTTAGACCAGGTCGTGAAAACAGTTCCAACTCACCGCGCGCGATAGCGGTTTACGCGCGCACACACACAGGTCCCTTCCAACGGAGGGTTCAGTTCAGTCTTAGAATTGTCGAGATGCCCAAGTCAAAGTGATCATCCCGAATGAATGCTGATTCGCACCGTTGGTGGTGTTTAAGGTCGAGACAGACACAGAAGAACAGCCGTGAAGTTGTGTTTCTGCTCACCTGAAGTAAGTAACCTATACACTAAGAGATGCAGTGCCTGAAGTAAGTAATCAGTGGGCCTGAAAATAGCCTAAGGACAAACTGTGGATCACGACGGAACGAAACCCCAACTTGGTTTCAAGTTTCAACTTGTCATGTGACTGCCGTCGAACATGAACCGCTGATGCGCGAAGCAAGGAGGGTAAAGTTTGGTCAAGTGCGCAAGTCAAAATGAACTCAGACTCACTGACAACACAAGTTAGCACATAAAGAATGGCTTCCCCCTCGCGCGCGATGGCGGTTCACACACTTATTGAATTGCGTACTGATTTGGTTGTGGTTTGCCACACGCCAGCCTAAGTGAAAAACCTAAGAAATCAGGGTGAGCTCCAACACTAAAAGTTCTGTAGTCACGGTCTCCACAATACAGCACTAGACGATTACTGCAAAACACAGAATTGGAACAGCTTGATTTCGCAGACCAGTGCAAGCGTCTTTGTTAGTGCCAGACTTGCACGGTCTCTGGCACCCCCCTCTTAAAAATCGACAGAAGCACTCCAACAGGAACCTTGTGACTCCAAAGGTTACACACACACGCACACACACACACGCCCGGGAGGCATCTGTGGTCACGTAATGGCATAGAGCCAGCTTGGAATGCAATAGTTCGTCAAGTCTTGGCAAATAACTTTGGCGTAAGCCTCCCATTGGGATTGACGCGGTAAAGACCGAAGGTGGTAGTTGTGTCCGGAGAAGGTACAACATATTGAAGGAGGGAAACTCCTCGGGCAATCCGACGTTGGAGAATGTTGAACTCGTGGACAGCGCGACGTGTCTGAATATAAATGTTCCGGGCTGAAATGGTCTCAAAGTGTTGGTCAGGTGGTACTTTTTGAGACATCATCGGGTGGGCGCAAAGTGCCTCAGCTGTCCAGGCCGCAAGGCAAACCATCCAGTGAAGCCATAGGAGTTCAGGTTGTCGGTGTGGCTGAGGACGGATATTGCCAGGTGGTGGGCTGACAGGTAGGCGGTAAGGGTTGAATACAGCTTCTCGTGGTGGTGGAGCCGTAGAACCAGCCAGAAGACCCGTAGGGGGAGGATCCATGAGGTCAGGAAGAGTAGGAGGAAGGTCAACCCAGGGCGGCGATCCAAATAAAAGGCTGCGGTAGTGGGAGAGGAGTGAGGAAACCCGGTGATTGGTAGACTCAAAGAAAAGAACAAGAAGAAAACATTAGTGAAAACACAGCAAAAAGGAAAAAACCGCACTTTTTTAACATCGATGTGTGCGAGGAAGAGGGCGGCATATGGCCCGAGGTAAGACTTAGGAAGGCGACGAAGTCCCGGGTGAAGGTGCTGCCGGACCATAACATGGAGGGAAATGTGGTAGTACTGCAGCGTCAGGAAGCCAAGGTTGAGTCGGTAAAGCATGGGGAGGGAACATGGCAAGACGATGTAGCAGCCGGTTCGTCCGAGTAACTTCGTCCATCAAGCGTTCTGTAGAGGCATGTAGATCCCGGAGAATTTGTTCCAAATCAGCCGGTAATCCTGGAGGGAAGTCGGTTGTGTATGGCATCTCATAGAGTACCTCCAAGGATCGAGAAATCGAATCCATTAAGGTGCGTCGTGAGATCAGCATGTTGATGATGCCAAGTGGGGCCTGCTGGGGATAGGTTTCCATCGTAGTCCAGAAAGAGGCCTCCATCGTGTAGCAAGACTGTCTAGGGGGAAGACGATCAGGTGATCCAAATATACCAAATGAACTTGAGCCAAGCAGGAGAAGGGAGGAATCAGGCATGCAAGAGTGCAAATCTGGGAAAGAGAGGGAAGTACGACCATGACCAAAAGCAAAAGGCAAAAAGATGGAAAGATATTTCGTCCTGGCTCTTTTTTCTTCGTGGGAAGAGAACTCCGTCGTCAGAAAATAGCGACCGTTTGTCGCAGCGCTGCAAGGAGGATATAGTACATGTGAATGAAGCAATCATAGAGGAATGTCAGAACGTCGAAGGCCATAAGAGGGTAGCTCATCTGTCCGAATGAACAATCCAGCATATTGAATTTGACTGGTAGAAGAGCGGCACTTGTACCTCTGGTCAACACGATTCCGCACAACATCGTAGAAGTGGCTGGCGATGGCATCGCAAGGGAGTCCACCCGAACGTACCACGTAATGTTGGAACTGGCGGGAAAAGCACTGTCCAGCCACGAAGTATGGGCGGGTGGCCGTGCGGCCTCCAAACATGCATGCCACGTGATTGACCCGGTTGTCGGAGTTGTGGCTGTGACCCGGGTAGCAACATCGGCAATAGAAACCAAGGCTGGGAAAATTGCTTCCACCTTCACCTTTCCAAGAGCTAGGACGAATGACACCATCAGTGAGGATGCCGCGAAGGGAAATGCTCGGGCAATTGTGGACGAAGGTGTAGAGAGCCTGAGACGGAGCCCATTGAAAGTATTCGGTCTTGGGGTAGTCCAGCTTGAACAGGAAAAGAGCGTCATGGCACGGAAGTTTTCCCAGAGAAACACCGGTGACTTCTCAAGGATCTGAGGAACTTGAGCTATGGCGGTGAGAAAATCTCCCAGATGGTCACCCCAAGAAGCCACAGGGATGCGCCGGAGGGGCAATGGTAGAAAGCGGACAAGCACATGGAGGGTGGTGTCCACTAATGTGCGAGGCAAATTCTCAGGAGCTTCACACTCTTCCCAGCTGCAGGGTCGAAAGGTGTCATCAATAAGGGCCCTGCGGAACTTATTCACCATGGAGAGAAGGGCGCTCCAATCTTGAAATTTGTGATCAAAAATCTCGTACCACAGGTCAGTGGGACCGGAAGGGCGAATGTGAAGCCAAAAAGGTGTAGTCCAAATCTGTTTCTGAGGACCAATCTCAATAGCGACCTCCAGGATTTTGTTCATGAAATAGCCCAGCTTGGCTGAATGTTCCAAAGTGGTGAAGTCAGGTTGATGCCGAGACCATTGGATAGACAACCGAGGGGGAGTCTCTGGTCGAGTTGGGCGATGAGGAGAACGGTGAATCGAGTCTGCCTGGGTGGATGCTTGAGTAGGGAAGAGGGAGATGGAAAGGTCGACGGGGTCTGTGACAGCTGGTGCTGGCTCTGGGGCTGTGGGAGAAACAATGGTGGGTGGAGGGTCGGTGGGTGGAAGGGACGGTGGAGCTGTGGGAGTGGGAAAATAGAACTGGAATGGTGAAAAGAAAGGATTGAAGGGTGAGTGGAGGAGAGCCTGTTGCTGTAGGTGATGAGCGGCATGTTGTTGTTGTTGTTGTTGTTGTTGTTGTTGTTGTTGAAATTCAAGGCGGAGTTGACGAAGTTCTTCTGCCTCGGAAGCAGGGAGGGCAGTGAGCGGAGGAGGTTGAGGTTGAAATGCTTGTGGCGGAGTGGTAGGACGTGAAGCCGAATCAGGAGGTGCAGGTTGTGGAGGTGGTCGATCGCCAGGTCCAGGTAGTAGGACCAAAGGGGAGGTCGCCGAAGAGCCCCGATCAGAAGGAGGATGAACGGAGGCAGGAGGCAGTGGCGCGAGGAGCCGCGTGAGGTGCTGGTGGGTCTGTCCGTGCGCTGCCGCGATGATGGCTGGAATGGTAAGACCTGAACGTGCTGGGGGAGGATCGGTTGTGTGACGATGCTCCCGATGCTCACGTTGATGTGTGCGGGAATGGCGTCGCCGAGAATGTGAGCGGCGACTGTGACGATCATCCCGCCGGGATCGTGAAGCTGCAGGTGAGCGGTGTCGACGACCACGGTGTCGGCGAGAGTGGGCAGAGCGGCTCCTGGGAGAACGGCGTCGGTCATGGTGACGGCCATGGTGGCGTGTAAGTGGTGAACGTGTCGTTCGTGATGTGCGATGGTCGCGAGGGGAAGGCTGCCTGGGACGTGGTCGTTGTCCATATGGATTGAGGGGCTGTGAGCCCGTGGCGCGTGGTTGAGGAAAACGTGGGCGTGGTGCTGGGACGCGTGGTGGTGGGAAGAATGGAGCGGTAAGATGTGCAGGTGGAGTGGGTGGAAAAGCTGGAGTAGATTGTGAACGAGTGAGAGAAGACTGGGGAGGACGAGGGTTTGAGGGTGGGGTGGAAGTGGTGATGTTGTGGTGAGAAGAGTCGCCCGTGGTGGGGTCGGAATGTGGTGGTGGATCTGGAACGCCGCGTGCAATTTCAGTGCCGGGTGGTGGGTTGGTGGAAGGGAGGGGAGTGGGCTCGTCATCACCGTAATCAGCTTCTTCAATATGAGGTCGGGTATCCCTGGAGCGAGAACCACGTCGATGACCACGTCGTGAATGAGGACGAGTAGATTCCAGAGAAGAACTCGTCATGAGGTCAGAAAACGCCCGGAGCTGGAAGCAGATGTAGTAACAACCCAAATGTGAGTGAAGAATGAGAAAAGGAATTCACAATGTAAATTGCGTGTCACAAGTCCTAGAGCCAACAGGAAAGGAAAAGGAAACCTGATACTGCAGGAAAGAGAGCAAGAATAAACACAGAACGATACACATTGTAAGATGTTCATTTTGAGCTGCCTGGCAAGGTATGAGGTGAAACTGAAAAGCTAAGATCTGGTCGTGCGAGGGCGAGAGCGAGATCTCGAGCGTATGTGAAGACGAGGTCGTGGTAGATGGCGAGAAGGCAGAGGACTGGGAGAAATAGGCATCCGGGTAGTGGTGTTGTGGGTCCTGGTAGTTCGCGACGAGGTCGTAGTGGGATGGGGCGTGTCAGATCGAGTAGAGAGGGATGCACGATCGCCGAAGTCTGTGCGGCCTTCAAGTTCGTCTTCAAGTTGTTCCGGGCTCTGTTGAATAATATGAAGGAGGCCCATGGCGGTCAGGAGCTCGTGGGTGTAGTGGACAGCGGTGTGGTTGAGCCGAAGAGCGAGAAGGAGTGTGTTGTCCAAACCTTCAAGGTGAGCTCGAAGTTGTGGGTGTGTGACCCGAGACATGAACGGAATGGTGCGAATGCTGAGTGGTATGTGGAGCAGGGCATGGACCTGGGCGAAGAGGACATGTACGAGAAGAAGTTCACGATGTAGCATTGCCTGAGCGCGAGGTGGAAGACCATGGATCGGTGCCAAACCACAAGGTGGTGTAGATGTCGAAGCCATGGCAGGAGAAGCAATAAGAAGCGCGGGAGCGAGACGAGCAATTGCTAGTAAGCCGAAGATAACATAGGAGAGAAATAGAAATAGGAGTAGAGTCGGCGAGGAAATCAAAGGATCAACAGAAAAACTACATAAATGAGTGATCAATCATAAAACAGAAAACCAAAGGAGAAGGAGAGCTTTTTCTGCAAAGTAAGAGGTTGTTGGTTCGGTCGGTGAGAAATCAGCTAAAATCTGAATCGTCGCGGAGGGGATCGTGACCGAGAGGGTGAGTGAGAACTTGGCCTCCTCGTCAAAGTCGAAGATGGAATCGAAGGAGTCAGGGAAGGAGGAGGAGCTTGAGGAGGACAGGAATCCGTGGTAGTAGTCATCGTCGGCGTCACAGGTGGAGAAGGAGGAGAAGGAAAGAGGATAAGAGGAGGCCTGGGTGAAGAAAAGGATGTAGGAGAGGAACCCGAGTGGCCAGTAGGACGTGGAAAGGCCAAAGTGGAGCGTAGTTCATCGGCGTAGACCAGTGTAGTGCGGGTAGATCGTCGAATCTGATCAATGCTGGTCTCCATTGCGCGGAGGGTGGCGCTGAGACGAGGGCAGGTGATCGTGTCCACAATGGAGGGAGTGACGGAGTCAAGAGGTCCACGTAAGATCAGAAGAATCAAATGTAAAGAAGAGTGTATATGAAGAAGTTCACGATGAAGGACCTCATGAGCAGCAGCAGGTAAGCCTGTGATTGAGGTCGATCCCGTAGGTCTAGCCAAGGTCGTCGTCGGTGGCATTGACATGGCGACGAAGAGGAGCGAGGAGTGCGAGCTCAACGAGGTCAGGTATAGGTATAGGGCTTGAGAAAGCTGAGAGCCACACGAAACAAAAGTGTAGAATTGTGAAATGGTGTCTCAAAGTACGGGAACAAGTTGACAACATAAAAGGAAGGACATTTTCACAAGTGTTTGGAAGAGTGAGCGAACGAGGTATCTAGAGATTCCTAGAGTTCAAACGAGGGTGAGACCTAGAGCGTGATGGTGCTGTACTGGATCGGTTAATCACACCAGGCCGATGTGAAGCGCGAATGGAGGGGGTTCCCGGTGGCGGACTCGGTGGTATGGAACTGGTAGATGTTGTACTTCTAGACGTAGTCGGGCCCAGAGGAGAGGCAGGAAAAGATGGAAAGCGGGGGTCAGGAAAGGTCGAGCGTCCACGTAGTTCAGCATCCACTTGAGTGGTGTCGCAATTCAAGGCATGCAGCATGCATCATCCCAAAGGTGGTGAGGAGTTCCTGGATATAATGCACACCATTGTGGATAGCCTGGGTCGCCTGTCGAATCGCAGAGTCCAAACCTCGAATTTGCAACTGAATATGTGGTGAAGTGATGTGGTCCATAAACGTAGGGTTGAGAATAGCGAAACGGGTGCGAAGAAGGGAGATGGCGAGAATCAATAAACCATGTAAATGAAGAATCTCTCGATGTAGAATAGTCTGGGCCCTCATCGTGATGCCGTCCACAGGGTTATGAGACCAGCCGGAGAAGGGAACATGGCGAGAGGAGGAGGATCAACTGAAAAACTAAAGGCTCCAACAGGTTCCAATGAACCTTGAACAAACTTCGGCCGCTGCGGCCACGTCCGCCGTGCCAATTTGGCTGGCTGCTTGGACCGCTGCGGTCACGTAAAGGCATGAGCCAGCTTGGAATTCCAAAGATGAGACAAAAATCATCGGACGTACGGCCTAGGCCACCTTCGCCCGCTGTGGGCACTTACGTTTCCAGAGCAAAGGAAACAACGACGTACACCCGTTCGACGGGTCCACGGGAGGCACTCTGCGGGCTCATCCCGGGTTGGCGCGAAGCCAAACACACTTGAGATATTGTGTACGGACACGCCGGCCTAGGGTTCCAATGCCTAAGGGTACAGGTAAAAGCAACCTAAAAGGAAGGAAAGGTCCAACCAACGGAAGTCTCGAGGAATTCAAAACTCAGAATGTTCCAAAAGCTCCAAGGTTCCAAATTGTAACCGCGAAACGATCGAGCGACAAGGACGACGGAACGTGCAGAGTCTGCGGATGAAGAACCGGTGCAAAGGCCAGAAACTTGTTGTAGCTAAAAGCAGGGACCATTGGGAATTTCCAGGTCAAAACAAGCAGGTGCGTCACGGTGATCAGCCGTGATATCCGCATGTACTGTGGCCGCTTCGTTGGACCATCGCGCACAGTACATGGATGGTCCCCCTGCCATAATGTGAAAAAACAAATCCGGAAGGATCCCTATGACTCCAAGGGTTACACACACACACACTTCTACAACCTGCACGTCTCCACACCCATCGTGGCCCCAACTTCTACCCGCCTTCAAAAGGGTCAAGAATCAAAAGTTGAGGTATATGATTGATTGGTATAAACATGCTGCAAACAAAGCGCCCTGTGCGATTTGGGCTCTGACTATCTGCCGGTCCACTCTGCTTCGGAAGGCTGCTAAAATATCTGCAGCGCTGCGCTTCCCAACCTCAACCAAACCGAGCATGCCCGCTCTGGCAGGCGCTCAAATCAAACAAGTGAGATGGTACGGGTGAATCTGGGCGGCAGGCAGTGCCAGAGTCTCCTAGTAGCATCAGCGTATATATATATATATATATATATATTGTACACGTGTATATCATACCTGTATATATATATATACATACATATAGCCCGTGTATATACATTATTGCAGTTACACGTATATATAAAGGCTCACCCCCCAACCGTCGTTCCCCTTTTCCTTCGCACGACTGTCAAACTCAAAAAAAGGTATACTTGAAACAAAGAGCGTGAGATCATTCCCAGATCTCTAAGCCTCCCCCAGGGATGCTTCCGCCAGGCTGGAAGAACATCTCAAAAATGTGCCTGCCCTGCGCGCTATTTCCTTTTCTCTCTTTCTTTGATTTCTTGTCTTTGGCTTTCTTTCCAACGCCCCCCGCCCTGCCCTTTTTAAGGGCAGGCGCGGCAGGCTCTAATTGGTTTTGCGCGTGGCTCTCATGTATGTTGATTTCAAGGGGGCGCAGGGTTTTGGGACGCGCACGGTGAAACCATGGTCGAGAAAGGCCGCCTGGGGCTCCACGACCGGCGATGTTGATCTAAGAGAATCAAGCTAGACGACGAGTGGCCCGAAAGCATTTTTCACCACGTGTGAAGTTAGAGTGTGAGTTGTGTGTTAAGTGTTCAGTGTGAAGCGTTAAGTCTAGTGTGTTGAGGCAGTGTGTGGGTCTCTGTGTGTGTATCTATGTCTGTGTGTGTATGAGCCTCTCTCTATATGTCTCTCTGACGCGCAGGAACACCTTTTTTCTGCAAGTTCTTGACCTCTCGCAAGTCCACCGACATCTGGGTAGCGCTGCATCCACGCCTCAAACTTTCGCAGTTTGCGCGATGTCACGAACCAAGTAGGCTCCTAGCAGTAAGCCCAGGAGCCCCTAGTACGTAAGTAGCGCGCAGGCCTCCCAAACATGGCACAGCTTGAGGTCAGGGAGCGTGTCCAGGAGGGAAAGCTCCAGGCCTGACGCAATCTGGCCCTAGCGGCCAGTGTGTCCATCTGTCATACACCAATTGCACTACGAACTGGCCAGGTCTGAGTCCAAAGTCTTCAAAACGAGCGTTTCGTACGAGACTTCCTCCAAAAGTGAAGCGGAAAGTCTCCAAAACGAGCGTTTCGCACGAGACTTCCACCAAAAGTGAAGCGTCAAGTCTCCAAAACAAGCGTTTCGTACGAGACTTCCTCCAAAAGTGACGCGGCAAGTCTCTGAAACGCACTCTCGCCTGCGTTCCGCGCACTCGACACGCGCGATCTCCGCAGAGGGTTGCGCGCGCATGGGACAGCCTGCGTTCCGCACACTCGAAAGGCGCGATCTCCGCAGAGGGTCGCGCGCGCACCGAACAAATCGCACTCTCGCCTGCACGATCTCCGCGTGAGGGTCGCACGCATACCGGACAAATCGCACTCTCGCCTGCCTTTCGCGGCCTTGACGCACGCGATCTCCGCAGAGGGTTGCACGGCACGTGCCGGACAAATCGCACTCTCGCCTACGTTTCGCACACTCGACGCGCGCGATCTCCGCAGAGGGTTGCGCCGGAACCGGACAAATCGCACTCTCGCCTGCCTTTCGCCCACTCGACACGCACGATCTCTGCAGAGGGTTGCGCCGGAACCGGACAAATCGCACTCTCGCCTGCATT